CAAGTTGTAAAGTTCGTTTTCGACATGACAACTTGTACTTCTCATTGTTGCAACAGGTCCACCTGTATCCTTATTTAAATGACTTGTTTTTCCCCTTCCCCTCCACAAATTATACTGACATCAAATACAGTGAAAGCCAGGGGTTATACTGTGGGGGAGGGACATACAAAGCAACAAAGAAATAATCTTATAATTGAGTTAGAAACAAATGCATGAAAGAAAAAAACATTTAAAATACATATCTTAGGGTTCATTTTCCTAACATCACATTATCTGACCTTTTCTGCTTGACTCATACATATACTAGATATTGCAAATAAGGGAAATCATGGGACCTATGTTTCTTTGGGCTTGGCTTACTTCACTTAATATAATTTTTTCCAAGTCTTTCCATTTCCTAACAAATGGGGCAATGCCGTTCTTTCTGATGGAGGCATAGAATTCCATTGTGTATATATACCACATTTTCTTGATCCATTCATCTACTGAGGGGCATCTGGGTTGGTTCCAGATCTTAGCTATGGTAAATAATGCTGCAATAAACATAGTTGTGCTGGTAGCTTTAGTGTGGTCTTGTTTGTAAACATTTGGGTAAATGCCCAAAAGTGGGACTGCTGGGTCATAGGAGAGCTCTATGTGGAGTCCTTTGAGGAACCTCCATACTACTTTCCAAAATGGTTGAACAAGTTTACACTCCCACCAACAATGAAGTAAGGTTCCCATCTGTCCACATCCCCTCCAGCATCTGTTGTTATTAGAGTTCTTGATTTTTGCCATTCTAACTGGGGTAAGGTGGTATCTCAATGTTGTTTTGATTTGCATTTCTTTTATGGCTAGGGATGTTGAGCATTTCTTCATGTGTCTATTGGCCATCCTTCTTTTTTCTTCAGAGAAGTTTCTCTTTAAGTCATTAGTCCACTTATTTATTGGGCAGTTGTTTCTTTGAGGATATGTTGTTGGGGGATTTAATTTTTTGAGTTCCAAGTATATTTTAGATATGAGACCCTTTTCTTTCATTTTTTCTCCTTTGGTTTATCCCCTGTTGTCACTGTTTTTTATTTTGGTACCCTGTGTCTTGTATGTACATCTATATGGTTTGGGGAAGGGAAAAGGAAGGGAATAACAAAATGGTGAGACAAAGGACAAAGGGTGAACCAATGTAGCAGCAAAGACACTATGTTGGAAATGAACTTTGCTTCTTGGGGAGGAGTCTGAGGGGGGGCGGGAATGAGAGAAAAACTAGGGAGAGAGTAACAACATTCAACAAGAAATATACTCATTACCTTACATTACATATGTAACTGTAACCCCTCTGCTCATCACCTTTACAATAAAATTAAAATTTTAAAAATAAGTAAAAATAAAATATGAATACTAATAAAATAACTTGTATGACTAATCCTCTGCTTATATCTTCACTTTTGATTTCTAGTTAGAAAAAAATCTACAGTTTTTTTCTGGAAAGAATAAGTATTTAATAAGTAAGTAATTTAGGCTTGTTAGCTGTCAGGTCTCTGCCTTAATTGCTCAGTTCCATTGTTAATGGTTCAAAACCAGACCTAGTAAACAAGCATGGCCTTACTTAACAAAAACAGGCAGCAATCAGGGTTTAGTCCCTACTCTACAGGAAATATTTGACTTTCTTTCACTGTATTCTGTGAATACATTGTGTGCCACAAGCTTTGATATGTAGTAGTGAATTTGTGTCTTAGTGGTAGAGTGCTTGCCTAGCATACATGAAGCCCTGAGTCCACGTGAACAGAAAAACTGGAAGTGGCACTCAAGTGGTAGAGTGCCAGCACTGAGCAAAAGAAGCACAGGGATAGTACCCATGCCCTGAATTCAAGCCCCGGGAGTGATGAAAAAAGTCATCTAATTCTGAATACTTTCTATCAGGCCCCAATTGTGTCATTATACAGTTTGGGAGTTTTGGGTGGGGGCTTTATAGCAAGAAGAAAGGTAAGCCACAGCTTTTATTAACTTTAATTTCTACATTGTGGACAATTAGGCAAAACATAAAACAATGCTTATGAGTGAGGTAAATAGTATAGTATATTTTAAATGCCTTGGGAAACTTCTAGGCACATAATAGGATGTTAATAATCAATAAATGGTCCATTTTAATTTTCATTTCTTTATTCCAGCTTCATATTTATACATTATTTCTTCATTATATTTTTTCTCAATTGATCATTAATATAAATCCTGAAAGCACCATATAGATTCCAGGATCACTGAAAACAGATTTGACACTTGAGGAATCTCAGAAGAAACCAGAAGGATAATGCCCTATGTGGTTCAAAGGTCATTTGTTCCCTGGATATTGATTTTCATGAATCAGACAGTAGACAAGACCCTGGGAGAAGAAATTGAACTGACAAGTGGCAGGTCTAAATTATTAATAATGAAACAGCCTCAGACTTTCTTGATGACTTAATTTAATGACAGAAGAGGAATCCTAAACTGAAATGCCTGAGGTTGGGGTCAATACCTGGGTCCCTGAGAGGAAAACACAAGTTATTCCTAGGAGCTTTTTTCAAGGAGCATGTCATGATTGATCCAAATACAAGGAATGAGGAAATGTTCTTATTTTCTCTTTTTAACAAAAAGAATTAAGGCTAAAAAGATTTACCATTGTATTTCTCTTCTGCCCTTAGGAAAACAGCCTTGGCTTGAATTATGTAATTTTGCAAGTTTAATATGATCAATTCAAGGATAAGAATCATGGGCATCTTACCATTTTATTTCCTAGATTCAGATATCAATTCTATCATCTAGTAATTGCATGACGAGCAATATGGATATCCTATGAAAGACTTAATATATGTGGGTTTCCCTTATTTGCAATAACCAGTAAATATATAGGACAAGAAGAAAAGGTCAAAAGCTATGTACATATGACCATATAAGATAATGTTAAGCGAAATGAACCCCAAAACAGGGGCACAAGTGTGTTTTTTTTTCCTTTCTTGCTATTGTTTTTAACATACTTATAACGTACTATGTGATTTTTTTTTGTTTGTTTCTTTGGTTTGTTCTTCCCCCATGGTATAACCCCTGTTTTCACTGTATTTGATTCTGGTGCCCTGCATCTTGCAGGGAAGGGAAAAAACAAAATGCTTAAATAGGGATACAGGTTGACCCATTGTAACAATGAGATGTACAAGACACTATGTTGAAAATGAACTTTACCACTTTCGGCAGGGGGAGGGAGGGAAGTAGTTGAGGAGGTGGGAAGGAAGGGATGGTAGGGGAAAAACAAAGGAGGAGGCAACAATGCTTGATAGGAAATGTACTTGTTACCTTAATCATGTAACTGTAACCCCTCTGTATAGTATTTTTACAATAAAAAAGTATTGGAAAAAATAAAGTTTAAGTGAATAAATAAAAAAGAAAGACTTAACATACATATCTGTAGAGATATTTAAGAAGAAAATATTTACCATTTTTTAAAAGTATATGTAATCTATAACACTTGATGTAATCAATAATTGTTGAATGAAATTATATGTTAATTTTCATGTTTCACTTCATCTGAATGAAAGATTAGCCCATGGCAATTCTTGAAGCCTATTTTCTTTAGCTATTCTGGATGACATAGCTCTAGTTCTCATCTCTCCTGTGAATTTATTTTAGTTGTCTTAGATGTCTTTGATTCCCAATTCTATTCTCTTTCACAACCTCTACTCTTAAGACAATTCATTTATTCATTTATTGCACATCTTGAGGCTTGAACTCTGGACCTGGGTGCTGTCCCTGAGCTTCTTTTGCTCAAAGGCTAGTGATCTACCATTTGAGCCAAATTGCCACTTTCAGCTTTTTTGAGTAGTTTACTGGAGATAAGAGTCTTATGGCCTTTCCTGGCCAGACTTGCTTTGAGCCATAATCGTCAGATCTCAGGCTCCTGAGTAGCGAGAATTACAGGCATGAGCCACCAGAGCCCAGCCAACAAAGTTAGTTGTTAAAATAAAGGCCTACTCTGTTTCATTTCATTTCATTTAAACTACTTGCCTGGAAAGGCTTTAGCAATCTGATGCACTTGATGTTACCATTTTAAGGGTAAAACTCAGAGAAGAGAAGGAATTTACCAAGGCATCTATGACTATAAGTCCATGCTGAGATGAGGGCTGAGCCCAGTACCCTTAGCCTATACAGTATTAGAAATTACAAGAGGGAGTGTAGCAGATGACAACATATCTCCCCATCTAGTCAAAAGTTTCCAAGTACTTGGACTGGGATTTTTTTGGCAGTATGTGGTTTAAACTTAGGACTCATAGTAGGCAGATGCCCTACAATTTGATTCAAGCACTTAATTTCTGCCCTTTTTGGCCTCCCTTTAAAAAATTTTTATAGATCTTGCATTTTGTCTAAGCTGGACTGGACCATCTTAAATTCCCCACATACCTAGAATGACAGACACACTTCACACATCTATTGATTGGGATCCAGTCTTGTAAACTTTTTGCCAAGCCTTGCCTTGAGTTTTGATCCTCCTATTGTAGCCAAAAATAAACTAGGATCAAAGGTGTGAGCACAATTAATAATAATAGGTAAAACTTATAGTGTTTTCTATTACCAAATGAGTTTCCAAACACTATACTGACAGTAACTTATTTATTTTGTATCAGAACACCATGAAATATCTTATTATTTTTTAGTATGAGAACTAAACTCATGTCAAGTCATGAAATTCAAATACAGAAGTGTGTAGTAGCTTGACAAGGTCCAAAGTGATAGAGTTGTGAATAAAAATCATATTTTTAGCTTCCAAGTTCCAGGGTTTCAAAGCTAATTGATGAAAGTCAATCATAGAGAATATGATCTCTGTACTGTTGTTTAGCTGGCACAAGATATTATCATCCATGGAGCACTGGTTATCCTAATTATACTATTGGCTTCTAGTCCTAAGAATACTTTTAACTTGCTTATTATTTTCTTTCTTGATTGTCAAGGAGTGACAATTTGCATAGCCTTCTGGTAAATATCTCTTTCTTTTTCAGAGGGTCATTTTCAACATTGTTAACTTCAGTAAAACAAAGAGTCTTTATAGAGATGGGATGGCCCCTATGGTGAAATCTACCAGCAGACCAAAATGGTAAGTGACCACAGAATATATAATCCCTTTCTGGTTAGAAATTATTATCTAGGACACCAGCTTATCTTTTGTGTTGCTGGAGATCAGGATGACTATTGCTTAAAATATAAATGAGTTTCTGGACAACCATTTTCTAGAATCTTGGTACCATTCTTTAAGAATGTCAGGAATATGGTTCCATTGTGCATTCACAATTTAGTACGTCATAAGATCACATGCTGTTTGTCTTAAATAATATCTTTGAAAGAGTTATTAGGGTTATATGGATTTCCTTGGGTCTAACTTAAGTATAGAGAATATATGTAACCTGAGAGGACACTTTTTATGGTGTTTGTCATACATGTATTCTTTTATGGATATTAAAATTTGACTTTTCCTATCACTGTACTGACTGAGGAGGAAAAGAGTCAACATTATTACTTACTAGTGATGATGATAGTAATGATGAGGATGAAGCTAGTAAGAATAACTACTCTACTTCTGGGACCTCATTCTTTTTATTTTTCCATGCTATGATTATTTTTGATTTTTAAATTATGAAGATGATGTACAGGGGGGTTATTGTTTCATAAGTCATGTAATGAGTACATGTCTTTTGGGGCAATGTCACCCCTTCCTCCAGTTTTTTCCCTCCCTTGCTTGCCCACAAGTTCATTTTCAACATAGTTTTTACTGAGTACCACTATTGCATTTGTTCAGCGTTTGTCCCTCCATTTCTGTGCTCCCTCTTACCCTACCCCTAAGAAAAACAGAACAAACAAGACAAAAACAGAGAAAAAACACTCTTGTTTCCATTTCCTGGAATCTGTTTCAGTAAGTATTATATGATCAGAGGCACAGAGGCATTGAGCCTTTGTGTTCCTCCCTTAAGAGTATCCTCCTTTGGTCTCACTCTCTATGGATGCTTACAGTCCTGTATAATTTATCAAATCCTGGTGCACTTTATATCTAGCTTCTGCATTTGAGAGAAAATCTGCACCATTTGTCTTTCTGAGTTTAAGACATCATTCTTTAGCGAAGTCTTTAATATTTTTGTTACTACTTTTCACATGTTTTTAAGGTAGATGTTAAGTGTCACTATATTACATATGAAAATCTTGAAGCTGTAGAAAGTTAAGTAAATTCTCAAGAGCATAAATAGTAAGGGGGAGAGCCTGTGTTATTTATATTACCTAAAATTGTTTTTTCAATTAATTCATCCTTCTCTCCATACATTTATTTATTTATTCAACAAGCATTTATTGAATGTAACAAAATGAGAATTTTAAGAAAATAGCAAGCAAGTATTAATCATCTATAACACAGTAGGTGTTAAGTGAATGTTTGTTAAACTGAACTGAATTCTTTATGAAAATTTACATGTAATGTGCCTGGCACTTGCTAAGTGCTCAATAAATGTCATCTATTATTAATAGTATTGTGTAAAACATTGTACAAATGCAAGGAATTGTTAATATTATTCTTGCTTTGATCCCTGTTCAAATTTTAATGACTAGTGAATAGATAGTCTCAAAATGTCTATATTTATAGGAACCTAGCAATTCATAAATGTTGAATTGTGCTTTTATCTACAATGATACTTGGCAATTTTCTATAAATGCTAGACAGAGAAGTTCAGGTTTATAAAAGTGTAGGCATGTGATGATGATAATGAAAACTGTTTATTAAAAGGTAAAAATATCTCCCTAGGCATATATTTTGCTATGCTGGCTGCATTAAATCAACAACTACTTTATTTTCTCTGCAATGCTTTCTGAAAATAGGGTCTGGGCAAGAGATATACTTTTGCTCTCAACCTCTAAATTTAACCCAAACAGACACTAACAGATCCACCTTTTTAATTAATAGGCATAGATATAGATGAGAATTTCAAATGAATGAAAGGGTATCACTATTGATCTCCTCATGAGAGTATATAGAATCTTTTCAAGATTCTATATGGGATCTTATACTGCAACAATAATTACCATCCCCTTGTCTCCAGTGTTATTAACTCTCTTTCCACCTCTCTCCTGTGTGTCTCTCTCTAAGCTTTTGAAAATCTTTCAGCCTTAATTATTTCATTTCTATCCCCCCCAATAGACTAACACTTAGTTCTTCTCTGTCATAACTTTTGATAAGATTTTAATATACTAAGAAATCCTTGTATTTGCATTATAATGTCTAGGCTTAAGTTAGTGTCCATATCCACTATGAGCAGCTGTTATCCAGTCATTGAGCTTCTCTAAGGACCTGAAAGGACCTCGTGTTGCTGAACTGAGTTTGTGGTAATTTTTCTTGCCAGTTATTTATACTAACCTATATCTTGGATAGAGAGCTGCTTACATCCCTTTTCCTCCAGGCAAATGTTGAGATATTTGTTTTTCCCCCACAGGACTTTATTGAGCATTTTCATGTGCCATGTGCTGTGCTAAACATTGTTGATGCAGTATGAATGTGAATCTCCCCTAAGAGGGAACTTTCATAGATTTTACTAGCTTATCTCTATGAGTCATAATTATTACTCTCATTGCTACTTATTTGCTCTGAGAGTCACTTCTTAGGTTCACTCCTTAAGACTTTCACCCCTTTCCTGTGCCATTCACCTGTATCAGAACCTGTTGCATTATGTTTTGAAGTGAGACAAAGAAGTCACTATGACTATTTGACTCACAGAATATTAGATTTTACTGGCTCTAAGAGTCCATCACAATTTGGAATACTTAGCAATGGCCCAACTCAAGACTGACAAATACCTTTAAAATATCCAAATTAGAATATCTTATCCAATCTTGTCCTAATTCCAGTTTTCCTAGTACCAAGGCAACCATTATAGAAAAAATAAAAATGTCTGATACTTTTTGCATCCAGGGTTTTGCTTCCTTTGACAACGTAAAATAGGTCATGGAAAAATTTCTACCTCAGGATAAACATTAAAAATTTTAATTGCTGGTATTTATCTACAGCAAATTAAGAAGACAGTATTTTTTTACCTTTTCAAGGTAAAACATTCTTCATGTCTCTCAGAGAAGGTTATAAATGATCCTAAGGCCTTAGCACAGGTCTGGAAATCAGCTAGTTGTAGAAAACAATTTTTTTAAAGACAGAACTGAAAAGCCATTTTGCAAATATATGATCACATAAGGCAAAATATCTATTGGCAAAAGGAAAGCTAGGAATTTTGGAAATATTGGGCATGTTCATTATAATTTTGATTACCTCTCAGACCTTTAAAGGATTGTTATTAGGGCTCTATAGTATAATATTTTGGAAACATACATAACTTTTTAATATTAGTTCTTAATAATACCAAAGACTGAGTTTGATATGTTCTAAGAATTGCTCAGAGTTGTCATAAGACAACTGAGATTTGTATCTTCACTTGTGCAGAAATCAAGACTAGAGGAATATTTATACAACTAGTAAATAGGGGAGCTAGCCAGAAACCCTCTGACTCCAAGTTCATTTTTCTCTTTGTAATCCAGGCATGGGAATTGTTGAAAAAGAGGAATACAAGCAAAGCATGAAGGATATTGTGTATCACCTTTGGTAGATCTGAAATTCCTTTGACTGGCCCTCTATTACAGAAAACTGGAGGCCCTGGGTTCAATTCCTCAGCACCACATAAGGAGAAAAAGCCAGAAGTGGCACTGTGGCTCAAGTGGTAGAGTGCTTGCCTTGAACTGAAGAGCTGAGGGACAGTGCCCAGGCCCAGAGTTCAGGTTCCATGACCGACAAAAAGAAAAAAGAAAAGAAAGAAAATTGGGATTAGATTAATTCTCAGAAGTATTTTTATTTTATTTTACTGTGATTAAGTTGTTGTACAAAGCAACTGCTATTTAACAAAGCAGTTTATGCATACAATGTATTTTGATCAGGGTCACTCCTTTCAGCACTCTAATCTATTGCTCCAAAACTACCCCTTCCTTTGCATTTCTTAATTTTGTAGGGTTTACAATGAATTAATGACATTTTCCTCCTTTCTCCTCTTCATTTCTCTACTTCTCTCTACTTGACTCGACCCCACCCCTTTCAAGTACCAATTTCCTGGTGTTTATGTTGTTGAATTTTGACTTTGCCTTTATATGGAATTACACTATTTGAGTTCTCCTTTGAATCTACCATATTGTAGTTAATCCCACCTAATGGATCTACTTATGTTTCTACTAAACTTATTTTTTTGAGTATCTAGTCTGTGCTAGATCCTGGAATGATATATATAAATCTGATCTAAATTCATCTTTAAAGATTATTTATTTATTTATTGTTCTGTTCCTGGGGCTTGAACTCAGGACTTGGACACTGTCCCTAAGCTTCTTTTGCTCAAGGTTAGTGCTACCACATAAGCCACAGCTCTACTTCTGGATTTTTCTGAGTAGTTTGTTGGAAATGAGTCTCAGAGATGATCCTGTCCAGGCTGGCTTTGCACTAGACTGGCTTTGCAACATGATAATCAAATCTTAGCCATCTGAGTAGCTAAAATTACATGTGCCCAGTTAGGATTTAATTTTTTAAGAAATTGAAATAAAGGTAGAAATGGTGGTACACCCTTGTAATCCTAACAGGTAGAGAGAGGAAGGGGGGGGGCGGGTAGGGAGGAAGGTATGGAAAGAAGAAGAAAAAAAGGAGAGGAGAGGAAAAGAGAAAAGAGATAATTACTGTTAATTTCTCTTCTTTTTCAAAAATGCCATGCATTGTGTCTAGAACTTAATGCCTGTTCATGAAAGTTTGATTTACTGTTCAGGACTGTTTTTTTTCCTAACCAATTCCATTATAAAAGAACTTAATAAGGATTCTTGGGACATAAATAGATTACTTTTTGCTCTTTAGCTTATGATCAAGTATATTAGAAAAATGAAATGTTTCTTCCTGAGTTCAGATATACTTTAATATTAGGGAGTTTGGAAAAGCAAATAAGTAAGCTCATCAAGTAGCACATTATAAAACTCTAGCCAGTTAAAGAAGAGGTGACTGAAATAGAAGGGATTATCTCCCACTCACTCTAGTGAGAAGAAAAGGAA